TTCTTGAAAGTTATTCATTTTTGGGAATGTTTGATGTATATTATTTCAAATTTTCAGCATCTAAGAATATATTAATTACAAAAGTTTTAAAAATTTCGCAGATTATAAATTAAAATACTCCTCCCACTTTTAAAACAAAAATGATAACGTTATTGATTGGACAATTTTGTACATTTTATACAACGAAAACCTTCTGTTGCTAAAATGAGTTATTATTTATAAATAGTGCAAACTGTTCAATAGTCTCACCAGCGGCCGAGAAGTAAAGTCCGTGAAAATTGGTAATTCGACTCGGTTTCAAATTCCGATGAATGGGATACTTGTATGGGCGTTTTCGTGATTTTCCTTTTGTGTAACGCTGGTATGAGTCAGTTTGCCTTACAAAGTTCTCCACGAAAGCGTGTTCCCTTAGACAGAAAGCCCTCAGATGCTTTGTCATAGGAAAAAGAAATAATAGCCTACTTTTTCGACAATGTCATTAATAGCTAATTCAATATGTGAAATTATAACGTTCCTTTTAAGCTGCTGTAGTGTAAAACTGTTCCATTTAAGTTATCATCATGCACAGGTTAAACAGATGATCGTCTCTCTCTCTCTCTCTTTTGCAGCATATTGCGCAAGATGTTTTCTTGACCAAAATTGTTATTACTGCTTTGCTTGATAAATATATATATATATATATATATATATATATATACTAGCGTATAGAATATCCACGGTTTTGCATTTATTGAATCTCGTGTGAGAATTTTTACAACGAGGAATTTTTTCAACGTGCAACTATAAGAATAATTCGAGGAAACATTGGTAATGAATCTTTAAAATTATTACTTTTTCGATTCTTTTGTGTTAACGGGGCGCCAGTTGCCAAATGTGCTCCAGAAGGCCAAATGTGGTAGTCTGTTTATATCATGTCATGAACAGTTGTGCAATGATTATACATGTAATGTTTAATCTGCGTAATGCCAAAGCTGTGTGCGAGATCCAATTTGAGTAATTTTTCTGTTCTTTTTTAAGAGAAAACAGATACCTGAGGACATGGAGAGAACAACAGTTTCCTTTTTGCCATGTACATAGTGATCTTATATGTAATACATATAAGGAATACGTTTAACAGCACTGGCATTGTGCGTATTAAACATCATATGCATTATATTCATTATATACAGCTGTTCTTTTCATAAAAAAAGTCATTCTTTCTTTATTTACTGTTAGTTTTTCTGCCATTTAGTTAGACTTCGCGCCAGGATCTACGTCAGCGCTACATCGCACCCCTTTAACAAAAAAGTATTTTTTTATGCATATAAATGCATTGCAATAAATCATCATATGTTTACCACTTTATTATGGTTCGAGGAGGAGCTTTAAACCGACTGAGCATCAATTAAATTATAATGTAATACAAGGATGTCAAACTCGCGGCCAGCGGGCCGCATGCGGCCCACAACAAATATTTTTGCGGCCCGGCCGATATATCGGCAAATAATAATATATAATAATAAAATAACATATCGACGAAGAAAAAAATGAAATGTTTACTGCTAAGTAATTAACGATAATTTATTCAGTGTTGTTAGATTACTCACAGCGAGCTGACACACACACTACTTAAATTACAAATGCGTGTGAGTAGCTTGCGTTCAGTTACCTTCGGCTTTTGGGGGACACGTGCACTCAGAACTTGTACGCATCCCCCGATAGCTGAATGTGGCCGAACTCATGATCTCAGTTTTCCAATCATAGTTTTGTACGATATATATATTTGCATGCATGTGCATGCACTTTGCTTTATTATTAATTATTACTTAATTCATATTGTTACGGATTTCATAGTTATTTATTTATTTAGTTTTTTTTTTTTTTTTTATTTTTTATTTAGAATTGTAATTAGATTTGCTTCATGTTGCCTTAGCAACGCAGACGATTTTTGAAAAGACAGCTGCGTTGGAAGGTTAAAAATAGAACAGCGCGTGCATTTAATACCTAATAAATAAATATCTCGTAATTGCTGTTGCCATCCACAAAAATCCAGATATTTATAGATGTTTCCAGTATATTCGAGAAATTAATTATAAAGCTTATAAAAGCCGAGAACAAACAACTCATCTCAGTAGTAGCTGTAGTTCTAGCGAACTGTTTGTTTACTTAATGCTGTGATTGATTTGTAGCGATTTCGCTGTGAGATAGAATTAGTTTCTCTGTTTTGAATTGATTTTTGCTAAACGTTTGACATTTTGTGATATTGTTAGAATATTTTTGAAGAAACTTTTCAGCATTTTGATTTATCTCTTGTGGAAAGAATAAATTTTTGTTAACTTTTTTAACGTTAACCGTGTTTATTCCAGCCCTTTGTATTCAGTATGTCTATATCAAAACCAAGTGGTAGTAAAATTAAACGAAAAATCGCTGACGAACATAGAATATTCCAAGTAAAATGGGAATTAGAATATTTTTGCTGTGAAATAAAAGATAAAATAATCTGCTTGATATGTAATAATACTATTAATGTACCAAAGTTATATAATATTAAACGTCATTACGAACAACACAAATCGAAATATAACAATTACGAAGGATTAATGAGAGAAGAAAAGTTGAAAGAGCTCAAGTTAGGAGTGAAAAAGCAACAGTCCATGTTTAGTAAAGTATTGCAAGAAAGTGAAGCGGCGGTACATGCAAGCTACGTCTTGTCCGAGTTGATAGCTAAACATTCGAAGCCTTACTTACTGACGGTGATTTCATCAAGGAATGCCTAATGAAAGCTGGAGAAATTGTTTGTCCTGGAAATGTGAAGGCTTTTCAATCAATTTCATTGTCTCGAAATACAGTTGCGGAAAGAGTTACTGATTTAGCCGCGAATTTAAGTGATCAGATCAAAGCAAAATCATCTAGTTTCGAAAGTTTCTCCATTGCCTGTGACGAGAGCACGGACATTAGTGGCAAAGCTCAATTAGCAGTGTTTCTTCGTTCTTGTGACAAGAATTTTAACATTTTTGAGGAATTACTGGAACTAATACCGATGCCTGGTACTACCACAGGAGAAGATATATTTACTTGTGTTTTTGGACTTCTGCAGAAATACAATCTACCTTTGGCAAAATTAAATTCTGTAGCTCCATCAATGACCGGGAAAAACAAGGGCTTCGTAGCATTACTAAGAAAAAAACTTAGTGAAATTCACGATTCAAACATTCATCATATGCATTGTATTATACATCAACAAGTTCTATGCACGAAAGTAATAAATATAGAGAATATTTTGTCATATATAGAAAAGTTATAAATTTTGTAAGATCTCGAGGTTTAAATCAGCGTCAATTCACTGCTTTCTTAAGTGAGTTAGATAGTGAATATTCGGGTTTGTCCTACTATACCGAGGTACGTTGGTTATCTTGCTCCAAGATTCTCAAACAATTCTGGGATTTGAAAGAAGAAATATGTCAGTTTTTAAAAACGAAAAATCAAGACGTAAGTTTGTTTTACGATCCAATATGGATACAAGATTTATCTTTCTTGGTTGATATAACCAAACACTTAACCGATTTAAATTTATCGTTACAAGGAAAAGATCATATCATTACGAACATGTTTGACATAATTAAAGCATTCAAATGTCAACTAGTTCTTTGGGAAAAACCACTTAAAAATGAAGATTTGACGCACTTCCCGACGTGCAGCATGAATAAATCAAGTTTAGATGATACTTGTTTGTATCAAAAATACGCAGAAAAAATTGCAAAATTAACAACTGAATTTGAAACGATGTTTAATGATTTTAGTTGCCTGGAAGACAAATTTTTTTCTGTTTTCTCCGATTTTCTCAATAAGTATTGACTCAGTACCCAGCCATACGCAAATGGAGGTGATCGAGATTCAATGCAACTCAAATTTGAAAGCAAAATTCATTGAAGTGGGCGTGCCTGAATTTTACAAATATTTACCAGCCAGGTTTGAAAATACTCGAAAATTCGCATATGAAATTATTTCCATGTTTGGTAGCACTTATCGGTGCGAGCAGTTATTTTCAGTCATGAAAGGTAATAAGTCTCCTATTAGAAACCGTATTAATGATGCTCACCTTGGGTCAGCGTTGAAAGTTATCACTGCAAACAAAATTTCTCCCGAAATAGGAAAGATAATAGCAGAGAAGAGATGTCAAGTATCAGGACGTAAACATTAAATTTTTCTTGTTCTTTTCTATATAAATATATATATATATGTTTATTATTGTATTATTCGAAATAAATCTACGTTTCTATGAATATTGTTTTTTTTTTTTTTTTTTTTTTTTTTTTTCGGCCCGCCTTAAGTTAAACCTTGTTTGTTTGGCCCAAGTGTACCTATGAGTTTGACATCCCTGATGTAATACAATAAACATGTTTGTGCATTTTTAGCATTATATTAATTTTAATCATGGTTTACTATCTAAGTATCAATTAAATATTGCTGCCAAAGAATAAATTTGTGTTCTCGGGAGGAGGGGAGAATACTCGAATTTTTTTAATTGAAAATGTGAATAAAATTTACTTTGAACAGTACCTACTTTGGGGTAAAGTTATTTATTTGTCTTATCTACACGAATAGAGTTAGGCGGGAAAAACCCATTTAAACCAACCCGTATCCAAGGCGGGGCCAAAACCGCACTGACCGAGCAAAAGCTCAATCCCCCCTTTTTTCCGCTCTGCAACGCACACGAGCAGACGATCAAGCAAAAAATAAACAAATAGTTAAAGAAGAAAAAAAAGATCGTCCAGTTTTTTCCCACGCCACCCCTGCTTGCCCACCTTGAAGGCTAAAAAGTCCCGCCTAGTACACCCTCTACTGGAGGCTAGTCCGACGTTACAAAAAAAAATCGACGAATCAATACGCAGACGATTCTGCATTCTCTCCTCCTACTGGAGAAATAAAGAACTAAACAGCAGACGATGAAATGAGCTTCGAAGAGTTGGAGTTGTTTCACAAAAAAAATTTTTTATTTGTTTTTGTGTGTATGTGTTTTTCTTTTCTTTCGTCCCAGTGGTGCTGTTATTGCTCAGAAGCACCTGCTGAATATTTCATGCATGTTGTTGCATGGCTAACACTACGGACTCAGCCTTGAGTGAGAGTTAGAGTGAATTGGTGAGAGGTTGAAAAGTGAAAAGCGCGTGAAAGTGAGGCAGTGCGTGCGGTGGGGTGAAAAAAAGAAAAAGGAGTGCTTGGAAGTGAAACCATGATCGCCTTGCAGGTGAGTACCACGTGGTTTTTCTGGTACATTTTGCGATTTGGTTTTAAATTGTATTTCATTATTATATCGTTAATTGTGCATGTCGTTTCATCGATGTAAAGAATTTTTCTCATTCTTTCATCGACGTGGAACATTGCCAAAATGTGATTAAATAACTTTCAAACAAGAAATCATCTATTTAGAATCAATGCGAGATAAATGAGAAAATCGCAGTTGCCGTCATTATTCAAAAATTAAAATCAGTTGCATGATAAGTAATAGCAAAACCAAAAAATATATATATAAAGCGATTCTTTATAAAAATGAACGAAACATCGCAGGTTATACATAGACTGTATTGCCTTTAATATAAGCGACTTTTCCCCTTAAAAATATTCTTCTGTGCATTATATCTGTCTTATATAAGTAGTTCAAAATAATGAAAAAATAACTATTGAAGTAATTTATAATTTGTCCCTCATTTCTTATTTAAAAAAATTAGTTACTTTATTTCAAAATAAATTAGACAATTCCATTATTTTTAATAGTAAGATAGTCATCTTATATGTTGCGACTATGTTTCAATTCTTTTTTTGTAAAGTACTTTAAAAATTTCAAAACCCTTTTATTTCTAAATCTTATCTTATATCCGAGGCAAAAGATTAAAAGTGAATAATCTGAATATTTATTTTTAATAATTACCTCTGTGAGACTAACTTCTTTGTAAACAATTTTTCGTTTCAAAATATTTTAAATTCAAGATCATGTTATTTCTAAGACTGTCTTATGTTTAGGCCAAAATGGTAATTATTAAAAATAAACATTTTATTAAAAAAAGAACGAATATTTTACATTGCTTAATAAAATACCATTTTGTAAAGTTTGTAAAAAAATTTAAAATAATAATAGAAAAGATAGAATGAAAAGAAATCACACATTTACTGCTATTTAATTGTTGCAGTAAAGCATAAAATCAAGGAGAAAACAAATGTACACAAAGAAATAACGAGTTATAGCACTATGAAAATATATGCATAATTAAGAGCTTACCTTGCAAAATAGTGTTATTTTAAAGGGAGCTTTATATGCGTTTTAAAAAAAGTTTAAAATTAAATCGATTTCATACGTTTTATAAACAACTGAGTTTTATAACTGAGTTACATTTTGAAAAAGCATTTAAAACCTTGCATGAGAAGTAATAATAATTAACAGTTCCTTTAGTGGCTCATGATTCTCGGTTGTGGCTCATATTTGTTCACAGGTAAAAATCATTTTTAATTAGTACTATAATAGACTTATCCTAATGGCTAATTATAACGACTCAATTTTAATAACGACTTAGATAAAATTTGCCAAATCATTAAACAAACGTTTCAAAATATCCAAAGGAAATAAATTTACTCAACTTGTATATAAGAAATTGACATTTACAGATCAATCTCTTTACTTGAAACAAATGATTTCTGTTTCATTGAGTTGGATAATTGCCTCTTCCTGTAAATAATTCATTTTCATTTTATAGTAAACAACAGCAGCAAGAATGACTTAGGTACTATGCCAAGAAATTTAAAAGTATTTCTCCTGTAATATATAATCTTGGTAAAATCTAATTAGACAATCAAATGATTTGTTTCTTTAAGCATGCGATTTTATTGGAAATTTACTGACACATATTTAGCATTATCTTCGTACTATAAAAGTCCACAATATACATAATTCAAAATATAATTTAAATTAAAATCGTATTTGTACTGTAGCCCCGTTTTTCCTAAGATTTTTCACCTTATTCCAGGCATAAGGAGAAGATCTGATTTATGTGTAAACCTCGAAATACATTTTTGCTTTCGTTTTTTACAATAACTAAGCTCTAATTGAAAGATTATAAGTGAAACATTTGACTGAGTTCACATTACGTTTTCTAATCAATCAAAAGAGTTTTAATTACCTGATCTCCAAATTTCCGGATCTTCAATTATCCGAACTGTTCGTTTTTTATGCCACGGAATTTTATTACTGATTCTAATTTATTTGTTTTAAAAATGTAAAAAGACAATGCAATAGTGTATAGGTTTGAGAAGATGATGTATTAATTTAGACGAATATTTACCATATGTGGATCGTCTTGGAATTTTTCTATCATGCGTAGACTAAATTGTACACTTTATATAAAACTACTACGCTTTGTTTGCGATGCAAGACATCGCATAACCATAATTTTTAATGAATACAACATTAATAACGCAATGCTTTATAAATTGCAATTCAAACTATCTTTATGAACTTTCTTACTTTTGATTAGCACAAACCTCTGTGTATTTATTAATCACTTCATTTTCCTCAAAAAAATATGTGTATTTTTTCCCAAGTGAAACTGAAGTTGAACAAAAACTTATGAAATATAATTAACAATACTTAAAAAAGATACATGATGTAAAATAAACTAGCCAAGAGCAAGACGCAGCGTTACTTTATACGAGAATAACTAGCCTAGATATTAGAAATAAGCGATAGTTTTCCATATACTCTTATCAGTTTTCTCAAAAAAGAATAAACCCCTATGTTATGGAAGTATAAAATTTGCCACTAAATATCTCTGCAATAAAAATTCTCACAATGTTATAAACTGCGTTTAGACAGAGACAGCCGATAACATGTGAGAATATGTCAGTTGCTCTCTGTTTAGAATGGGAAGGGGGAAATGAGAAGAACAGCATTCCCCTTCTTATACAAGACAAACTGAAATTTTAAACTTCTTTGAAAAAAATTCAAAGTTACTCAAAATTTGGAGTTCTTTTTTGCTTAATATTTTGAACTCTGTATTACTACGTTTAGTTCTGCCTAAAACTTGAACTTCCTAGACGAAATTAATCAGCAGTTACATTGTAGAAATGAACCTTGTTCAATATACGATGTGTCCACAAAAGTCCTTACATGCCATTTATTTTTGCAACCTTGGTCATAGACATATATTGCCGATTGCAAAAGAGTTTTAAATAAAGAAAAACGTACGTTGTGGTATTCCAAAATTAAAAAACAAATGGATTCTGTAAAAATCTCGAAATTTTACGTTTTTACACTCCCCATTAACTAGAGTTATATTTGCTAAATGTTCATTCTTTTTCTTTTAAAAAAAGGAACGAAAGAAGAAACGAAAAGTTTGCCTCTCGTACGACAAAACTTTATGGAGGTATTTAAAAGTTTCAGATCATGTTAGGGGGTCGTACTCAAATTAAAGAAAGAAACTTTTGCGTTTGTACGTAATTGAAAATGAAATATCAGCTCAAAAAATGTTTTCGACCTTAACAAGTTAAATGACGAGCACTGCTGTGCATATTGTCTGGAAAACGTTTTACCAATATTTTTTTTTTCCTAACAGAAGCATTTGTTTACAGAACTTTATAGAAATCTCTTCTGAAATATGAGAGGCTTCAATATTGACATATAGCCAACTCGTAATACAATTTGTATAATACAAAAATAAATATAATTCTTTAATAAAATGTTTTCTGTGGTCATTAGATTATGATGCTAAAGTGATAAAAATTGCATAAAAATTTTAATATGTATTTTTAACATTTAAAAAAACTTATAAATTATTTGTACCATAATTGTTTTAATATAAATTATATAAAAAATTATAAATTACTATTAAATCACAAAATAATATCACTGTATGACATTAAAGAGAAGAAAAAAATGATTCAACCTCTAATTCTTTTAATTCATTATTTAATAGACCTCTCAAGAGAAACCTAAAAATATCACGAAAGTTCCGAATTTTGAAATTAAATATCTCACTCAGTTTTATCGCACAGAGTTCCAATATTTTGTGTTTTATTATTTAAAATAATTATAACCATTTACTAAACATAACTACAGGGACCATGGGAACTCGCAATTTAAATCAACGTATTTTTAATAAAACTGATTTCTTAAATTAAAAAATGTTATAACACTTTAATTTCTGTCATGCAAAATATTTTTGCAATTAGAAGCACATGTTTACGATAAATGGTTGCTAAAATAAAGGCCATTTATATGGTATATAATATATACTGTAGGTCTTATGACATTGAATCGAGATAAAAAAAAGTTTTGCTTGAAGTTTAATTGATGTTGCTTTCGTCAAAAAGAGAATGAGATACATATAGAGAAAAAGAATCTACGCAGTATAAAATCTTGGGCAAGTCAATTTCGTCTTCGATGTACTTGCTGTGCAAAAAAATGTTATGTTAAAAAAATATTGCCTATGTCCTTAATTTCCTTAAAACTTTGAGTTTAGACATGCAGCTCCAGTTCAAATTTTAAAAAAATCGAAAGCTTTCAGATTTTATATTACGCCAAAAGGGGAGTTTTTTCATTTACATGTAAAATAATTTTGCAATTAGAAAGTTAGAACACATACACGATTCGAGAGCATTCGGACTAAAAATATTTAAAAACAGCATATCTTTAGAATTTCTGATAAACAATTTCGCAAGCTAAGTTAACGTTTTATAGAGATAATTGTTATCTCAAAGCAAACATTCCAGTTAGTATAGGGTTTAATTATGTTTTAATGCGGTAAAACAAACACGAAATTCCAAATTCGGACTTCCAGGGGCTCATATTCGGATGGAGGACTACGTCATTCAAAACTTGATGGCTCTACGTATCGTCATTTTTTCACAATGCGAGAAACATACATACATTCATACAGATTCTTTATTATTTAATTTCTTTAAATATAAAACAGGGCCGTAATATCTGGTGGCAACAATTTGAAAAGTGATATAACGTGTTGAGTGATTTAACGCAAAGTGCCGTTTCGAGACTGATAGTTCTTCTGGGCTAAAGCCCCTTTGGGCTAATAAGGCACACAATTTTATAAAAATGGTGGCGTATAAATTCCATAAATATAAAAGCTAGCATTTTACAGAGAAAGTTTTATCTAAAAGTAAGCATTCCAGTTAGCATAACGTTATGTTTTAATACAATAAATTGAATTTAAAAATCTCAGACATTTTCAGACAAAATTTATG